GATGCAGACACTCTTCAACCTCGGGCATCATCCCAAGGCCTTGTGGGTCAGGAAAAGGCCCGGAAGGCTGCTGCGGTGATTTTGCAGATGGTGAGGGAAGGCAAGATTGCCGGTCGCGCTGTTCTGATCGCAGGACCTCCTAGCACCGGAAAGACAGCAATTGCAATGGGCATGGCACAATCTCTCGGACCGGACGTACCTTTCACCATGCTTGCTGCTTCTGAAATTTTCTCAATGGAGATGTCGAAGACAGAAGCCCTGACCCAGGCATTCCGGAGGTCCATCGGTGTGCGCATTAAGGAAGAGAGCGAAATCATTGAGGGTGAAGTTGTGGAGATTCAAATTGACCGGAGTGTTACTGGCGTGAGTGGATTCTCTATGCGGAATGAGTTCATAACATTGGATACTGACTACCTACAGGGCAATAAACAAGGAAAGCTCACGATCAAGACTACGGACATGGAAACGATTTACGACATGGGAACCAAGATGATTGATTCTATGACAAAGGAACGAGTAATGGCAGGAGATGTGATCTCGATCGACAAGTCCTCAGGCAAGATCACCAAGCTCGGTCGCTCATACGCACGCTCTCGAGACTACGACGCCATGGGCGCCGATACCAAGTTTGTCCAATGCCCCGAAGGCGAACTCCAGGTTCGCAAGGAGATCGTCCACACCGTCAGCCTCCACGAGATCGACGTCATTAACTCGCGTTCACAAGGCTTCCTGGCTCTCTTCTCCGGCGATACGGGCGAGATTCGGAGTGAGGTTCGGGACCAGATCAATACCAAGGTGGCTGAATGGAAGGAAGAGGGTAAGGCAGAGATTATTCCTGGTGTTCTGTTCATTGACGAGGTTCACATGCTTGATATCGAGTGTTACTCCTACATCAATCGTGCCCTTGAGGCTGAGTTGGCCCCTATCGTCATCATGGCTAGCAATCGCGGCCAGGCACGCATCCGCGGAACCACCTATACTTCTCCTCACGGTCTACCCCTCGACTTCCTCGATCGGGTTGTTATCGTCAGCACACATATGTACTCTGGTGACGAGATCCGTCAAATCCTCGCCATCCGAGCGCAGGAAGAAGAGATTGATCTTTCACCTGATGCACTCGCCCTTCTCACCAAGATTGGTCAAGAGTCAAATCTGCGTTATGCCAGCAACATTATCACTACTTCGCATCTCTTGAGTCAAAAACGCAAGGCGAAGGAGGTCAGTGTTGATGACGTCCAACGCAGCTTCCGATTGTTCTACGACCCTGCTCGGAGTGTGAAGTTCGTCAATCAATATGAGCAGCGCTTCATCGGTGACCAAGGTACCGTTAGCTTCACTGCTGCTACCAATGGCGACGCCATGGAGCTTTCTTAATTGGGTTACGTGTTTTTGTACTGGGCTATTCGGTGGGCAGTTAAGCGGGTCGAAAAAACTACACTGGATCTTGATTTTGATTTCGTTGTCGCATCAAACGATGTATGATAGGACTGGCGCTTCCTGTGTTTATTTGGCCTTTGAGATTCAATTGCAGTCCTCTGTTCTGGAGGATCTGATATTAATATTTCATTCATCAATGGTATTTTGTGTAGCCGAGGCAATGTCGTAGCTGATATGGGGGGATTATATTACAAGAAATTGACAGTGCCGCTCCACTGCCCTACATCTCCAACTTGACGGAACTCAACACCTTCGCCAAAGTAGCCTGCATTCTTCCATGAGTCCATCATCGCGCTATCGTACGGCCCATGGGCATCCCCTCCATCTCGAGCATCAGACCATCGATATTCCCACATGGCCGGACCTTGCTCAGTCATTCCCTCCGCAGGAGGGTCGATCCAGTCCTCGCCCGTGTCGTTGCGGTACTGCCGTGTGAGCATTTCGCGCTCTGTGTCATAGATATCTATTTGACCGCGGCCCATTAAAATATCGGCGGCGCCAGTGATAGAATCAATTGCTTTCTTCCGAGCCAGCTCATTGGGGTTCTCATCCGTCATCTCGGCATCCTCGACGGCGTTCTTCTTCTTATTCTTTTTGTTTTGCCACTTGGGCTTTCGGTGAAGCCCTTTGCCCAGTCGGGCCAGTGCCTCGAGTGTCGTTTCGCCGCGTTCGAGGTGGGTGATGATCGTCTTCAGGGCATCCGCTGTCAAAACGCTGTCGTCCATTCTGTCTTTCTCCTTGCGCTCTGCATCGCGTTGCTCGGCAGCCTCTTTGGCTTTCTTGATGTCCTTCTTAGAAACACCCTCCAGCCACGAGTCGTAGGCCGCGTCAGGGTCTACTGCTTTGCGGACGTAGTTGCCTTGGTCGTCGAATCGGCCCTCCTCTTGTTCTGTTCGCATGTTGAAGGCATCTAGGAGAGGTGCGTGTTTTTTCTTCCCACCCGCACCAAGTTCCTCGTCCACCACTTCGTCAATTCGTGCGCGTTCCTCTTCCCCGACTTCACTATCACTTCCATCTTCCTCCTCATCAATTTCGGCTGCACCCTTGCTCAGATCGACATGAAGTGCTCCTCCACCTTTTGAAGAAGCGACTTGGCCCTCGATCTCGTCGTCTCGTAGGAAACGAACGGACTTTTTCTTGTTTATGATCTCGTCGCCGTCGACTTCCTCTTCGCCGAAGTCCTCTTGTAGCTCGGCGAACATATCATCATCTTCCGCATCTTCCTTGGCTTGTTTGCGTGTGGGTTTCTCTTCTCTGCGCGCAGAAAACCCCTCGTTTTCGCTGTCGGAATCATAACCCTCGAGATTGACCGCCTTGCGTCTTATTCTTTGGCCACGTCTGCCAATCTCATCGGCGTCCAGTACTGCGTCTTCTTCGGGCGCATCAGCTGCAAGAGCTGAGGGGTTGCGAAGGTCGAAGCGGGGCTTCTTGTGCTCTGAGGAATCCTCCCCGTCGTCATTGTAGTGGGTACTGGCGAAATCTTCGCCTGCGCGCTTGGGGCGTGGCAATGAGCTCGACATGGCGCTTTAGGGGGCGATTTCGGTTGAAAACAAACGAGAAAGATAGTGTTGCGCAAATTGGAAGGGTAAATCACCTCTAAGAGAGCTGATTTCCTTGTCCGGGGTCGGACCGGAAAATCATGGCGGAGCGAGCTGCGTCACCGATGGCGATCCAAAGAGCGGCATATTGTACCTCAAATCAACCCGTCTCACACTTTTCTCTTTGTCCATCTTCAGTCTATTAAACCACATTAATTTGACATGGTGAGTCAACTCAAACTCCTCCGATCTTCACCTTACTAACTAACAGCTTTAGTACCGACCTGGTTACTGGTCGGATGACCCAATGGATGGAATCCTAGGTGCCGGTATGGCGCGCCCGGGCGCCACGTCCCGTCGCTTCGATGAATACTATCGCTGCTACCCAGTGGCGATGCTTCCTGGTCCTGAAAGAGAGAATGTGAACCACGGTGGCAAGGTCATCATGCCTCCCAGCGCATTGGACAAGCTTACCCGACTTCACATTACTTATCCGATGTTGTTCGAGCTTCACAATGGTGCGAAAGAGAGGATGACGCATGCAGGTGTCCTTGAGTTTATTGCTGAAGAGGGGAAAATATATTTGCCATTCTGGGTGAGTAAGACAGACTCGTCAAGGTGTTGTAACTGTACTAAGACTCGGTTCGCTACAGCTGATGCAAACATTACTACTGGAACCTGGCGATCTTCTTCAAATCAAATCGACAGACCTCCCTCCTGGCCAGTTCATCAAACTCCAAGCACAGTCGACCTCCTTCCTCGATATTAGTGACCCGAAAGCTGTGCTAGAAAACGCCTTTCGGAATTTCTCATGCCTTTCCAAAGGCGATGTCTTCACTTTTTCATACAATGATCAAGTATATGAGATGGCAGTGCTGGAGACAAAACCTTCTGGGACTAAGAATGCTGTTTCCGTTCTAGAGACCGACTTGGAGGTTGATTTCGCCGCTCCGGTTGGATTCGAAGAACCACAGCGAACTAGCGGGACCAGCACACCCGGTAGCGTCATTAGCGGTGGGAAGCTTCCAGCTGGTGGACTTTTGCACCCCCATGGCACCATGGCACAATCGATCAACTACTCCGCCATTGCCCCCGAGGCCACCTCTGCTGCCACAGGTGCCCGTGCGGCATCATCCAACTTTTTGTCTGGAGGGCAGCGTCTGAACGCTAAAAAGGGCAGCAAGGCTCCGACTCCTAACCCTTCTACTCCTACCCCAGGTGCTTCAAGTTCCTCACATCCACTTCCAACCCGAAGAATCAACGGCCCGCAACCACTTCGACTCCCGTCCAATCAGCTCTTCTTCGGGTATGCAATCAAACCCGTTAAACCCCGTGATGAGAATGGTTTGGTTGTCCCAGATGACCAGCCTAAGTTCCAAGGAATTGGACAAACTTTGCGTGGGAAGCGAAAGGATCTGTCCGACTCTGCCACCCCCTCGGGGAGTGAAACTGAAGGCCAAAAGAGCAAGGAAAACACTAAAAAGTCCGACGGCGGGGGTCGAACTTTGGGAAAGCGCTAATGTCTGCAACGACCTATTTAAACCTACACTTTCACGATTCCCCTGGGCTTTTAGATAGTGGAAGTCTCTAGATTCCGCGGCGGGATTTCCTTCGAGGGCATAGCAAGGTTCAACGTGGGCGTTGGGGGAGTTTTTTTACTTTCACTTGAATACACAAAAGGCCTTGCAATAAACCCCACTATTTTCATGTTTCTCGTAGGCAGTCCCCCTCTCCGCGTTCTGGTCTTTGTTTTACAATCAGTGGTATTCATATGTAGTCATTCCGATTCTGCGGATATCGAGGACTCTTACAACACTCAAGGGTTGGAATGCTTCGGAACGATCAAGCATGCCTCCTATATATCTCTGCACGTGAATTAAACTGCAGGTAAGTTATGGTCCTGGTCACAAACGGCACGTTTAGTTCGGCTAGCGCGCACGGCTCTTGGCAAGCCGAGGATCGCCGTGCACAGGCCTGAAACTGGACCACACTATTGATCTCACACCAGATATTGGGGGTTGCATCATGGCGACAATACCTGAAACCAGTTTGGGAGCATTCATCAGACTGGCCCCGTCAGTCTATCTCCAAGACCCGCCCAACCCGAGCGAAAAGGCGGATAGGCCAGTGATATTCATTGCTTTTTGGATGAATGCGCCCCCGCGCGCTTTAGCAAAGTATGTGGTAGAGTACAGAGGGCTAGTACCATCAGCGCGAATTATCTTCGTCAGAAGCTCATCAAGTGACTTCATCTGGCGTCTGAGGGCCCAGACCCGGAGAGCCCGCGTCACCCCAGCCGTGGAAGCAATGCGCGGTCTAGTGACACCTGAGAATCCAGTATTTGTGCACTTGTTCTCGAATGGGGGCATGTCGAGCACAACACACCTATTGCAAGCCTGGAAGAATGCGACAGGGACCCCATTGCCCATGTCGGCAATGATTCTTGATAGCGCACCGGGCAGTCCGAGCCTACGAGCAGGACTCAAGGCTTTCTCATATGCGCTTCCGCGGATGTGGATTTTGCGGCTGCTTGGCAAAAGCTTTATTTTTGCTTTCTTGGTTCTTTTCAAGTTGATCCATTCGTTTTCTATGTTTCCGGATCCTATATCCCTTGCCCGGAGGCTCATCAATGATACCTCTTTGGTACGAGCGGCTAACTCGGACGGAACTCTCCGTCGTTGCTATATATACTCAGATACGGATGAGTTAGTGGACTGGCGCGATGTGGAATCTCATGCGGTAAACGCCGAGGCTGAGGGTTGGGCGGTGCGCCGTGAAGTGTTCAAGAACTCCCCTCATGTTGGACATATGAGAGTCGAGCCTGATCGGTATTGGGGCATTGTTCGAGGGTACTTGGGAGCTTTGATGTCGGTGTGATGAGCATTCCTTTGTCTTTCGGTTTTGCTTTGGCTTAAGGAAGACTAGAATGTTACATGATAGACATAGTGCTGTGCGACAAATATACACATCTGCTTGCCTCCATGCATAACTGTTTTTTTTTCTCCTTCACCAAGTCTTCTGCCCTTGAATATATAACCAGGAATTTCCTTCCAAATCTTTGAATGTCAATTGACTTCTGATTTAACCATGCAGCAAAGTTTCGCAATTCCATGGTCATTGGGATTGAATCACTATGACTGATATCTCAAGATCACCCGGGCAGATTTGTTAGAGCCAACAGTCTGAAAGGCCCGGAGCCAAGTTCCGCAACTCCCGTCTCAAGGACATCAACCATTGCAATATACCCTAGAATCAAAGATGACGACAGCCATGCATCATTATTTCGGCCCTCGTTTAACTGTTCCCGACTTGATCTATTCAAGTATTTTCCCATCTCAATCATCTTATTTCACTTGTCTTGGTGCTTGTCTGATATTGTGCAGGCCATTTCACAATAGACCTTGTTAAAGTACGTTTTGGCGCCCTTCGTTGGCCCCGTCGTACTCTGACCGAGCAAGATAGATCCTCTCATTATCATATCACTCTTGGAGACTTTTATTTGGTGTATTATTATTAACTAAACGCCACGATGTTCCAACACCAATCCCACCAGCCGAGCTACCTCGACACCATGGCGGAGAAAGACACCCGCTTCGCTCTTCCGGGATTCAACCGGCCGCTAGACTTTGCTCCGATGGAGAAAGACATCTATGGTATCGAAAGTCGGAGTATGTTTCCATCTGCGCTGGATGATAGAGATATCCAAGCAGGATACGTGGAGTAAGTGCAGAGTCCCCAAGACCCGAGAGGGGCTCAATGCTGAAACCCATCATCATAGCCTGCCCGTCGTGACCCTCCGTGAGATGCATATGGTAGAGTTCATGGAGCAACTGACCGATATTCATGGGTGGTGGAAAAAGGTCAGTCGTTTTCAATACAACCGATACTGATCATTCCGCTGAAATAGTTTCAGATCTTTGATCCCGCCACACAAGAGGAGTGGAAGAAGGCGGCCTTAAACAGCGGCAAAGACCTTACGCTGAACATGGTTGAGTGGATTATTGACGAGCTTCAATACAAAGCCATGATCTACGAGACCACAGATGTAGTCGCCCTTTACAACGGCGATGTCACCAAGTCCGACACAAATCTGCCTGATTCACTCTATCGTGAAATGCAATCCCAGTTCGAGGTCCTAGAGTACGATTTGGGAGAAATGCAGTACTACCATCCAGGACGTCTAAGCCAACAGCGTGACCTCATTTCCATGGCATTGTATCCGCTCATTTACGGCAAGTCCCGTATTCTTACCGACAGGATCATTGGGGTCGAGGACTGCCTCAAGTTCGCCGGCAAGGGTGAAGTGATCCCAATCCCAAAAGATACCGGAATAACCAGAGAAGATATTGCCTGGCGCGTCTTGGCCCGGGCAGACATCAAGGTCCGGCCCTATAGCCGGAAATACCAGCTTCTCCCTTCAGACTGGGCACTCGGCGATGATGGACAATGGCACATAGCCACATACATCAACAATCTGCATCCAATCAAACACCGGGGCCTCTACAATCTCTTGGAGCGGATTTTCAATTGTCTCGTTCCGCAGTGGAACGCAACTTTGACTCCCCTCAAGGACATGCTCCATTCCCGTGCCCGAATGGAGTACCACAAGGCGGAATATTACCCAGTCCCAGCGGAAATCGCTGCCCAGGCACCTAAGATTCAACTAAAAGAGGCGCAGAGTGAGTTTGACGAGCGCATGGAGAAGTGGAGAATGCAGAACTGCCGTGCCATCCAACCCGACGCAGGCAAGTTCATTCCCTGGGCAGTCCCACCCTGGTTGATGGACAAACTGCCCGAGGACCTGCCCAGTCCCGTTCGGATCGAACGGGGTGTCGATATCAACCGGGACTACAAGGACCATGGACTGCAGGTGATCACACGTGTGTTAGGCTTTGATCTAACTCCGGAGAATCCGACTTTCACGACAGACTGGCATGTCGAGGGCTCGATGGTGAGTTCAAAAGCTTCGCTAACCAAACAGTACTTGATAATAACAAAACGATAAACCAGAACGAGCACATCTGCGCCGCAGCATTCATACCATACGAGCACAACAACATAACGGACCCGTCCATGCAATTCCGCAACATGGCAGAGTCCGACACGCTCAGAGAAATCGAGCACGAGCCAAACGACTTTATCTGGCTGAAACAAATCTACGGTTTGGAAAACGGCGAGCCGGCCATCCAATACCCAGGTTCGATCTGCGCCAACACAGGCCGAGTGGTCATGTACCCGAGCAATGTAGAACACAGGTTCACAAACTTCGAGTTGAAGGACAAGACTAAGCCTGGGCGTACGCGCGCCGTGGTGTTTTTCCTTGTCGATCCTAATATGCGTATCATCTCCACGGCCAATATCCCGCCGCAGCGTGTGGATTGGACTAAGGAGTTTCCGGCTGGGGCAGATGTCAAGGAAGGTTTGAAAGATCTGGCGCTTGATAATAAGAAAAACAAGGGAGATATGCCTATGAATCTGGAGGAGGCTTTGGAAACGAGAGTCAAAGTGTTGGACGAGCTCGAGCAGTTTACTCGCTATCAGCATGTGGCTTTTGAGTCAAATGTTCTGATGCTTTAATGTGGTCTTCCTTTTTCTTTTCTTCTTTTCCTCTGGTTTTTTTTTATAATCAATTTTGTTTTTTTTCGAGGGCCACTGCCGAGCTGTTTCTGTCGCTCGAAGGTGATGTGGTAGCTGCAGCTACATGCTACTAAAATGAATAATTAGGTAAAGATGATATTAAATCGCCGCGCTATGCCATTCATTCGTAAAACCAAAGTATGCACATGTCCCATTTTGATTACCCCAAACTCCAATCGACCCAAAGCTATGTCCAGGGCTCAACGTCCCTTCATCTCAGGGAACTCATCATCAAGCTTCAGACGAGCCGTAACGTTCATACTCATAAGTTCTTGGATGAGAAGTTTGGCGGCATATGGGATGACCATCTTCACAACGGAACGAGACGACTTGCACCCAGGACACCAGTTCAAGTAGCCCATGAAACCACACTTTTCACAAACATCCACCTCGTGGCGATCAGACGAGATCATGAGGCGCTCCAGCAGTAGCTGACTAGTACCGTACGCAATCAAACAATCACGTTCCATCTCACCGAGACGCAGACCTCCGTTACGCGAACGACCCTCGGTAGGCTGGCGAGTGAGAGTAGCAGTAGGGCCTTTGGCACGTGCGTGCATCTTGTCTTGAACCATGTGCTTCAGTTTCTGGTAGTAGATGGGACCGGTGAAGACGTAGAAAGGCAGAGCCTCACCGGTGATACCGGAAGTGAGATAGTCCTTGCCACCATAGCTGAAGCCTTTGTCGATCAGGATCTGGGACATTTCTTCGACGGGGCTGCCGCCGAAACAGGTACCGTAGCCGTGTTGGCCGGACAGAACACCTGCTTTACCGGCGACCAGCTCCAGCATCTTTCCGACTGTCATTCGAGAGGGGAAACCGTGGGGGTTCATGATAATGTCAGGGTTAATGCCTTGGTCCGAGAAGGGCATGTCCGCCTGGTCTGCAATGATTCCAACAACACCCTTCTGTCCGTGGCGAGAAGAGAACTTGTCGCCGACCTCAGGGCGACGGGTTTGTCGGGTCAGGACCTTGATTAGTTGCGTCTCGCCTTCGGTAGCAGATAACATGACCTTGTCTATGTAGGAAGGATCTGGCAGCTTGTAGTTCATGGGAGCCTCGATAACATCTCCGCCGCCAATGTCGGAGCCGGGGAATCCCAAGGAATTTTGTACCCTGGGCGTGACCTTATTTATATAGCTTTCGCCGTTATTGACCATTTCGCCAACTGCAGCCAGACCATCAGACTCAAGAAGCGCGTGCTTGCGGATTGGAACGCCATTCTCGTATGTCGGTCCTTTGAGGGAATCCTTGGCTCCGTTGGGGTAACTCTTCAGCGTCGTGACGTACTTGCGGAAGACCTGACAACGTCCAAAGCCACGGTCCACTGATCCCTTGTTCAAGACCAGAGCATCCTCAATATCGTAGCCAGAATAACTCATCACGGCAACAGTCGCATTCTGCCCCGCAGGTAGTTGGTCATATTTTGTCAGCTCAATGGTTCGTGATTTAACCATGGGCTTTTGTGGGTAGACCATGAGGTAAAGAATGGAATCAATTCGCTGGAATTGATTGGAAGCAATAGCGCCAATGGCTTGCTTACCCATGGCACATTGGTAGGTATTACGTGGGGACTGGTTGTGGTGAGGATAGGGGATCAAACCGGCAACAGCTCCAAGGACTGTGAAGGGTTCAATCTCAAGATGGGTGTGAGTATTTGAGATGTCCTTCTCGTAGATGGCGATGTAGGAGTCATTCTCCTCGTTCACGTCGAGGTATTCAACGAGCCCTTGCGCGAGGAAGTCGTCGAACTCCATTTCTCCATCACGCAGCTTCTCGAGATGCTGAACACTGACAAGAGATTTGCCATTCTCCACAACAATGAGAGGTCTGCAGATACGTCCATCATCAGTGGCGACATGGACGGCTCGCTGATGGTGATTGATGTAAATGCTGACAAATTCCGAAACCCGGCCCATGCGGCGCAGTCTTCGGAAAGCATTGAGGAAGGACTTGGGGCGTCTGGTCAGACCAGTCGGTGTACCGTTGATAGAAATCGTGTAAGCACCCCGAGCATAGAGCTGCTGTCCACCAACACTCGATATGTCTTCGACGCCGAGCATGAATATCAAGTTTCGCACCGGTCCTTCTTCATCGTTGGTCGTGATATGCGTCATGAGGGCCAAGTTCTTGACCAAACCACATGCCTCACCTTCGGGGGTATCTGCAGGGCACAACATTCCGAACTGGGACGGCTGCAAGGCACGAGGACCACTGACTTTACGAGTCTTTTCGAACTG